ACAAAAAGCTGTGTCACCAAAACCAATTGAACGACAAAATGTTGGATTAGTTCTTAAAGTTTTTTGGGATGAAACAGTTGCAGCATTACGTGTAAAATTTCCTGAAGCTGAAGATACTGCACTTTTTATTGAAACAGTTGTTTCAATAAAAAGTGCAGTAAATTGTCAACAGTAAAGCAAAAGGTCTAGATATTAGATTAAATGATATTCGAAGAAAGCCTATTACTTCAGTTAATGATTTTTTAGAGAACTATATTACGTATTTTGCTGAAAATTTGAAATGCGTAAATTCAAAATTAAGAGAGAAAAAGTTGACAATAGATACTGCAAGTGCTTTGCAAAAAACTTCTAAAAGATTAGCAAGCTGCGCCAAGTATTTGTTGAATTGCGGTGTATCTTATGTATTGTTAGGACATATGCAATCAGATGCACTAGAAAAACAGTTTAGGAAATATCGGCAAGGGTCAGGTGGCACATATCTGATAACTGTGCAAAATGTTATTCAAAAATTTAGAATCGACAAAACTAGAAAGTTGCTAGACAAGCATACAGATTTTACAATATTTCCTCCTGCTCACCACCACTGTGATAAGTGTGAACTTGATGTGGAGTTTATTATGTCAATATGTGAAAATTGTGAGGATTAGTTGCCAAATGAATGCAATCAAGGACTTTTATATATTGCAGGTTTTATTGCTTACAAACTTCCAGATTTACATTCAATTTTAGAAGAAACAGACAGCTTTGATATGTTTTAAAATTATGGAACTTTGATCATTTCTTTGAATAGGGGAAGATTAAGAGAACCTTCTGACAATTTAGTCTACTTTGTTTTTTATTGTTTTTTTATATTTGAAGTGACACTTGTGAATAAAGTTTCACCATTGCAGTGCAAGAAAAGATTATTTGACATTTTTATTAACTGCAATAGTAAATTTCAATTGCTTGTTCAAAGTGTTAAAAAAGTTTGCTGCATTTTGGCAAACATTTTTTTAAACAATTATTGTAAAAAACACTCTGAGGATTTTGGGAAGGAATGTTTAATAAAACAAGCAAAACTTTCAACTTCAAAATAAAATACTTTGAGTCAAAAAAGTAAAAATAATTTTAATAAAATAAAGTTAATATATTTGCTTGTTTTTATCAAAAAATTTATTATTTGTATTACAAGTGTTAAACAGCTAAAATAAACATATAGTTATAAAAACGAGATTTAGTCATTTTTAGCTAAACTCCTTAAATTTTTATTGTAATTAACTTATTTCTAAACGTAAAAAAAATTCCTACAGTATTTGCTTTCGAAATTCAATCAAAGTGTTTTGTCCTAATAAAGCTCTTTATCTTTTTCTGAAGTTTGTTTACAAAAGCAAAGATAAAAAATAATTTTAACCGTAAAAAAGTTGGCCTTCGCTAATTTTACGGAAAATGAGCTGTCGCGGCCTGTTTAAGAAGGCCTTGTTTCGCACCAAGATGTTTTGAGGACATTAACTTATGTTTCCATGTATGTCCGTAAAACAAAAATTTTTTGTTTTAATGTCTGAAAAACCTGGCCAATTTTTCGCAACTTAATAAAATTTCCGTGGTTAGTATTCGAGAGCGATTGCTCCTGCTTCCCGACAAAACTTGTGTGGGCAAAACTACAGCGTATCGTCATAAAATTACAAAGCTGGCATGCCTATTTAAAATCGCATTGGCATCACGGTCCGCTGAAATCATTTTGCTGGGGAGCCATTATGCAAGTCAGATCCATCTGACCCATGTCCGTAACCAGGGCCGCCGAGAGGGTAGGGGGCTAAGCGGAGGGGGGGCCAAAAGATATCTAAGGGTGCCAAATAAAATCCCAGTAAACCAACCCAGCTGGGTCCCAGCTGGGATTGACTGGGATTGACCTGGGATTACTGGAATGGGTTCGGGCTGGGATTTGTTATGGGTGCCAGATGGGTCCCATATGCTGTAAAAATATTGCCGCAAATAAAGTCTGGGTTTTTACTGGGATTGGCATGGGACTTCCGTAAATGTTTTACGGCTGGTTTGAAGATGGGACGCGTAGTTTAATGGTAGCGTGTATTTCTAACCAAAGCAGTTTTTTGGCATCGTTTTTATTAAGAAGTTTTGTTGACATAAAATTACAAAACTACAATGTTAAATTTTTCTTTAAATTGTTTGTAAGGTTTAGTGTGCTTACAGTAATGGCATAGCATGTTTAATTTTAATGTTTTTTTCAAACAGATCTCATAGAATTTTTGAAAAACCTTTGAATTTGCTAGGTTTTGTAAAATGACTTTAACAAATTTTATTTACAAAGCAAAGCAAAGTTTTACTATGAAGCACTGACGTACGTAAACTTTACATATTATTTATTTTCGCATAACTCATTTAATAAATGGTTTATGTATTTATAAATAATATGCAAGTTTTACATACTTATGAAAAAAATTAAAATCACACATTTATTAAATGTAACATATTTTATAAGTAATATAGTTAATATACATACTTATGAAAAAAATTAAAATCACACATTTATTAAATGTAACATATTTTATAAGTAATATAGTTAATATACATACTTATGAAAAAAATTAAAATCACACATTTATTAAATGTAACATATTTTATAAGTAATATAGTTAATATACATACTTATGAAAAAAATTAAAATCACACATTTATTAAATGTAACATATTTTATAAGTAATATAGTTAATATACATACTTATGAAAAAAATTAAAATCACACATTTATTAAATGTAACATATTTTATAAGTAATATAGTTAATATACTTCTCATAGTATAACTAATATATTATCAAATATGTAACTTATAAAAAATGTTAAATCTTACATTTATATTATGCAATTATAAATTATATCTAAAGTTTATATATAGCATTGTCACTTAGTAAAACCTTACTAATAGTCATATTATCACTTTACAAAACATAGTAATACTAAGTTTTGTAAAGTGACAATATTTATAATTTGAGTTATCTTATAAATATTATAACTTTAATTTTAATTTGTAGTATAAGGTTTTAAATGAAAAAAATATTTAAATAATTTATATTGTGAATTACTTGTAAATAATAGTAATTAATAATAAAAATGATAAACTGCCCAGTTAACCACAACAACTGGGTCCCAGCTGGAATGTAAGTAGATTATTGAAACTGAGTTATGGCAGGGATTTGAACTGGGTAAAAGATGGGTCCATATGGGGCAACGATTGTCGCAAAAATTATGCTTGAAAATATGATAAAATCTTTTAAATGGATATATGCAGTAATACAGGTTGATTTGAATTGAATATACACTTGCATTTAAAGTGAACAGGAACTTAATTTGGCTCTTTTTTAGTATTTTTGTAAAAAATAATAATTTACATATCAGTTTTAGTTTATAATAAAAGTATAAATATTTTTGTAGCAATATTTAAATATCCATTTAACAAACGATTTTACAAAAAAAAAAAAAAAAAAAAAAAACATGGCATACTCTTAATATACTTCTTAAATGCTAATTGACATACTTCTTAAATGCTCTAAATTTCATAACCATTAAAAATTTTGAGAGTATGTCAATGTTTACTTTTTTACAGACTTGTAAAATGTTTTATCAAACTGAAGACATATTTTAATTTTTTTATGCAAAAGACTAATGTTGAAAATTTTTCAAATTATTTATTATGGTTTGGTGTGCTAACAGTTATGGCTTTGTCACCAAGTTACAAACATGAATTACACTAAGTTAGTGTGTTTCATTTTAAACTATCTTTTTCAATCAAATCTCAATGACACTTTACAAAATATGGTAAGGTCATACTAAGTAATACTGCCTTATCTAAACTTTACATATTATTTATAAATCCATTAATATTTTACATTTTCTATAATTTATTTAATTAATAATATAATACTTATATTATAAATACTGTAACTGATATTATAAGTTATAATATAAGGTTTTGTATGAAAAAATGTTTAAATTATTTATATTGTGAATTATTTGTACATAGTAGTAAGTAATAACAAAAATTAGATGTTTTAACGTTTAGCTTTATTTATCTGAAGTATTAAGAAAATTATCACATTTTGTTTGAGTATATTTATTTATAAATACATTTTTTAATTCTTTAAAAAATAAATACTTATATATATTTTGATAGCAATATTCAGGCATTTGTTTAAGAAACAATTTGGCTAGTCTATAAAAGGGAAATGTTGAGTTTTATAAAAAAATAAATAAACTAAATATACAACCATAAAATGCTAATCAAGTGCAATATAAAATGAAAATATAGTTTTTATACTAAATATTGAAAAAACTGAATCTTTCAATAATCATGAGTGTTTTGTATTTTTCACTTGCTATAGTAAGTTAATTTCATAATGTTATTATATGATATCATATAGTCATATATAATATGTTTATTTACAAAGTTATAAAAAAGATATCAAATTTTTTTGGTATTAAATTTTTTATCTATGTTATTTTTGCATACAACTTAATTAAATTTCAAATTTTAATAAAACTTTATTAAATTTAATAAAGAGGTTCAATAGTATCTATGTTTTGTTTTTTGAGTTGGTTTGTGTTGATTTATGATTTACAACAGAAAATGCATTACTTTAACAAATGTTAGTATTTTACACATTAGTTGTATAATCTCCTTTAAAATGGTTCGTCTAAATCTAGTAAGTTAACACTTAATCTGACAACATTATTTTGAATATTTTTGTATCAGAAAGTTCTGGAAAATTTTACTTTTCTCGAGTTTTAATATCTCAAACTAATCGTTTACAGAGGGTAATAAAATAAATAAACAGGGTTGCCACTCAACCTGGAAAACCTGGAATACCTGGAAATAGCATGAATCCCAGGGAAAACCTGGAAAACTCAGTGATTTTCTAAAAATTTTATAAAATTCAGGGAAAAATCAGGAAAAATATATATTTTTTTTAATTTTGTACAATAATTTTTTTTTTCAGAAATATTTTGCTAACACATATAATAAAAAGTTTGCTAGTTGCGGGTGTTGTTGTAAAAGTTTTTCAAATATAAAGATTTTGTTTAATTAAGGAAAATAATAATCTCGTTGATGAACAGGAAAGAATATAGAAAAGTCAGGGAAAACTCAGGGAACTTAAAGATTTCAACTCAGGAAAAAAACGTTCTTTACTCAGGAAATACTCAGGAAAAAACTTTAAAAGTTATAGTGGCAACCCTGATAAAATAATTTCTGTATATTAAAAATATATATAATTTGCAAAATATACATGTTTTTCCTAATATTGACCTGGGCTTCTGTGAATGGATAAGTTCTGTGAATAGAGAATGGACTGTGAATCTCTAGGAAATGTGAATGTTATTATGATACATATTTTTACATCAAGAGTAGTGTGTTTTACATTACTCTCATTAAAAGTTTATGAATATATATGATAAAAAACATTTTTAAAACTACATTACAGTAGTGTGACATGATTTAGAATAAATATACATTTAAAGGATTTTTTACATAAACTTCATTTGGTACCTCATAGTAGTTTGTTTTTATTTTTAGTTTTATTTATCTGTTGATTAGTAGAACAATATGTACTAGTTATAATATTTACATATGGTAAAGCATGTATGTTATTCATGCAATATGATTTCAATAGTCAATTTTTTAATAGTTTAATGGCAGCATGTATTGTCATTAATACATGCTGCCATTGTCACAATGTAGTAAATTTTAAAAGTTATTTATGTATAATGATTTTTTAAACCAATTTGTTAGGGTGTTATATTATTTAGAATCTACTGTGAAATTAGTTTAATATATAATCACAAAACTTAGCTCTAAGACAACATGAAATTAAACGATAAATTCTGGTCCACGATAATTGAAATACGTTATGTTAGACTAATCATGAATATAACTATTATATACATTATATAATTACTCTACACTTGTTTATAACTGTAAATTTTCATTGTGAAAATAATTTTATAACAAAATTTATTGTTGTCAAAATTACAATTGTTTTTTTAATTTTTTTCAATATGTTTAAATTGTAACAAATAGTTATTTTCAAGTAATAATATAACCTAAAATGATTATTGTTTAATTAGGTACAATCAAAATGTTAGTAGTATTGATTATTTTTGCATTTTTTAAGTTAAATAAAAGACATTAAACCCTAACCAACTGATTAAATGGTTTGATATCAGGTTAACTAGAGTCGAGACTTTTATTTTTAAATGGTAACATAGTATTCATGTTATATTATTGTTGTTTACAAGTCTATTTATGTCATGCCTAATTATTAATATCATTTATTTACCATGAACTAACATTATTTTATATTCCTTTCAGGATGCCTGTTAAAAAGAAAAACTGAAGAAACTTTAAAACTAGATGATGCCAACTAAAGAAGTTAAAACACCGTTATTCATGGTGTCATATCGAGGCTTCAGTTCTCCAGTATTTATTTTTTATATTTTACTATATATGTTATGTTTATTTTATTTTTCATTTTTATTTTATTTTTGTAACAACAAACTTTGTGAATAATTAATTGTCCTGCCCTGGGCTTCTACTTCAATCTGGCTATTATTATAACACGTATATCGTTTTATATATTGTATTGAGTTAGTTTGTGATTGCTACGTGTGTTTTTGTTTGCCTAGTGTTTCTTAGTTATATGCAAGATATAGCATGGTATGCTCTTAATAATATTATCAATAAATATTTTCATCTATACATTGTAAATATATATGCTATAATTTATTATATTATTCAAATGTTTATTTTTAATTTATAAAATTAGTGTAAAAGTGGATGAAAGCACTAAAGAAAACTATAACGATAAACTTTAAAGCAGAGTTTTGTCATGCGATTACGGTGGCGATATGAGAGAACTAGTGTGGCAGAATATTACTATCGTAGAACAGTTTTGCATCAAATCATTGTATAATATTAGTTATTTGCAGCAAATTAAATATATATAATATAAATAACCTTTACTTTTTAATTTTATATAAAAAATGCGACGGTTTTTAATCAAAAAATTGTCACATTATTTCGCAGATTCGAGATACAAAAAATCTGCGAAAAAACAAACTATAAAAAGTTGAGAAAACCTGCGGTAAATGAAAAAAATATCTTAGTTCAATATGGGATTTCCCGTCAAAAACCCAGATTTATCCCAGATGGAACCCAGTTGGATCCCACTGACAGAATCGCAATGGAACCCATGTGGGATACCCTGATGGGTCCCAGCGTTTTCCCCAGTTGGGTCCTAGCTGGGACCCAGTTGGAATGGTTAACTGGGATGTAGGTACCTACAAAAAAAAAAAAATCTTTCATATATAATATCGAGAAAACTTGATAAATAAAGGCGCCAATCAGGATTGCTGTCCCAGAATTTAAGATTTTTTTTTTGTATGACTTTTGAGGTTTTCAGCGACTTTTGAGGTTTTCAACGTTTTTAAGCATTGTATCAACGTTTTCTTTTACAAAAATAACAAAAAACAAGAACGTTGTTAATTAAAACTAAGAATATAATACAAATCAAAACTACAGTAAATAGATTTTTAATGACTAGAAAACAACTCAACTTTGGTAAAATAAATTTGTGACATTATTTTTTTTTAAATATTTTATTTGATGGTAATGCAAAGAGGGTTTTTTAAAACAATAAACTAATTTTTAAAAATAAACTTCCGTCTTGAAAATTGATGAGTTGAGTCTTGAAAATTAAACATTTTTATTTTTAAAGTTATCTTTTTGGTGGGATGCTATTCAAAAATATCCACATTATTAGGGTAAAATAATGCTGTAATTGATTTTGTTATTAAATCAAAAAAACGGTAGTTACTTTCAAAAATATTTGGGTAATAAATTTTTTTTTTTTTTTTTTTTGTTAGAGTTTATGTAAGTTTATGTTTTTTAAGGTGGAGTTTATGTTAAAGAGAGCTCTTCTGCAGCAGAAGAGCGCCTTTTAACTCTAAAATAGTTTATATGTTTTTAAAATTATCTTCTTTTTATTCATTACATTCAATATTAATTTTGTTTATATTTGTTATATATTGAGACTATATGGACACTGACCATAAAGTTTAAAGTCGATTTTGTAAAATGATTTAAAGTTATTACTTAAAATGGGACAGTTAATGGAAAAGTCCCATCATAAGAAATCTTTAAAAAAAAATAATAATAATAAAATCACATTTCATTAGGATCATTCTTTAGAATGCAAAAAACGCGTTATTGGTTTTCAAAACTTAGTTAAAACATAAATGTTTATCAACTATAGTGAACATTAAGTTTCTATAATGAATCGCACTAAAATATTATCTGGCGCTCAATTTAAGAAGAAAAGAAAACAGCGCCTAAAAAGTGATGAGAAACTACAAGATTGTTTTAAGCAGTAGTTGGTAAGTAACTCTGCAATGCAGAGCCGTGCGGAGGGCGATTCACTCAAGCAAATTGCTCAGGGCCCCGTCTCCTATGGGGGCCCCCACAAGTAGTTGACTTAAATCAATTAACCTGCAGAAATGCAATAAACTTCTGGGTTTTTTTTTCTACCTCTTTATCCTTAAGCCTCAAAGCAAATCAGTTACAACTTTTTACACACATATTCAGCACAACTATTCGATAATTCAAATATATATATATATATATATATATATATATATATATATATATATATATATATATATATATATATATATATATACATATATATATATATATATATATATATATATATATATATATATATATATATATATATATATATATATATATATATATATATATATATATATATATATATATATATATATAAATATATATATGTATATATATATATATATGTATATATATATATATATATATATATATGTATATATATATATATACATATATATATATATATATATATATATATATATATATATATATATATATATATATATATATATGAATATATATATAAATATATATATATATATATATATATATATATATATATATATATATATATATATATATATATATATATATATATATATATATATATATATATATATATATAATTATATTTAGATGAATAAAAACAACTGGTTAGCGGGACTTAAAGTTTCTAGCCCGAAGGCTATCATCAGCCGTTAATACAAACAAAAAACGTAAACAAACCGTTACAAAAACGTAAAAATTACTCTAGATTGACATCTGACGTTATAAACATTTCTACATAAAAAACAAATCAAAAAACAAAACACAAAAAGCCGTTATAGTTTATTAGTCCCCTGTGTCAAACAAAGATAACAGGAATTTTTTTGAATGTCGACACTGAGATACGATTGACATGGAAGATAATCTTTGTTCATATTGCGAGGGATTGCTTTTATTATGCTTGGAGGGTGGTTAGAATTAGAGTGGATGTACCTTATTTGATTATCAGGTTTAAAATATGGTTGAAACGTATCGTTACTTAGATTTAACGTAACATCGAGGTAGTTAACAATTTTAAAATTAGATTGAATGGTGATTTGAAGATCGTTTTTTTTTTAAATGAGTGTTATATGCTTTTTGATTTTTTCCATTTGCTGACCGTTTTTGTTCTTGAATACAGCGAGACCGTCGTCACAATATAAGCCGAAATCTTCTTTATTATAATGTTGTAAAATTTGATACAGTATGAAAATAACTATTAATTCGCAAACTTCAGCACCATCAAATGCCCCCATTGTTACATCGAACAACCCACCTCTTTTTTTAATTCATGCTTCATCGTTGTTGAAGATAAGAGATTTTTTTGCATGCTTTATTAATGCTTTGTCTTCGCTTTTGATAACGATATGATGGTCAGCGAAATTCATAGCATTGTTGAGAGTGCTTTCCTTTATGGAATAGTAGAAATCGTTAACATCAAAAACTAGAAATTTGTATAAGTGCTTATTGGTAATTTTTTTAAACCAGTCTAAAACATTTTGCGAACTTTGCCATTGATTCAAAAAAAGTTTATTTTTAAGTTTACAATTAATTTTTGTTAAAATTACCTTAGATATTTAATCTACCTCATTTTTGGAAGGGTTCAAAAGGCGCACAGATGGACTGTTAGCGAAGTTTTCCTTGTGATCTTTCAAAGTGAAAAAACAGTTAGAGGATTCGTTTATTTTTATTTTTTTATATACCTCGTGGTTGGTGAAAGTTTGTTTTCCTTCTTTGTTTATATGGTCCTTTAATTTTGGATTTGCTTTTTTGTATGTAGTGGTAATAGCATTTGTTAACAGATTATTGTAATCTTCTTTAGACAGTTTATACATATTTGATGTTTTGTCAGTATGTGTTAGAGTTTTGTGAGATTTGCGTATATTTTTGATATCTTTTTTCATACCATTTTGAAAAGTGTTGCGTATGTCTTAAAACTTTATTGATTTAATAAGATTAATTAGGTCTTTTTCGAAGAATGACATTTCTTTTATTTGCGGTGGACATATATGAGATCTAATTCCGTAGTTTGTATAATTGATATTGTCTTTAATTCTTGGATCGTTATTAATAAAAAAGAATGCTTTCCATCTCATTTTCTTTAAAAGTAATTTCGTTTTTGTTTATTAATTTTAATTTAAAGTCTCTTTCTGACGGTATTGAAATGTTTTTTATTGAATTATCAAAGTTTGATTTTTCCATCGCGTTGACGACTTGAGTAAAGTGCTCAACTTTACGGAGCAAATATTTGTATAGATTTCGATATATAGAATATATTCGAGGTTAAGTATTTTGATGTAATAATACGAAGTTTCTTGTACGTGTTACAGTTCTCAAAATTACTGAATAATAGAGCTATATATAATTATATTTAGATGAATAAAAATGACTAATCAGTTGATTTTATTCATCTAAATATAATTTTATATAGCTCTATTCAGTAATATTGAGCACTGTAACACGTGCAAGAGACTTCGTATTATTACATCAAATTACTTAACCTCGATTATATTCTATATATCGAAATCTATACAAATATATATATATATATATATATATATATATATATATATATATATATATATATATATATATATATATATATATATATATATATATAAAATATATATTAGACCAAAGTACCTGGAAATAATAAATTTGAAACGCACGTATTCATCAGGATAATTTATGTTTAAAATCAGCAAAGCAAAAGAAGATTCTACACAAAAAGCAAACATTACTTGATGTTGGAACTAAAGTTACTCAAAAGACATCGGATGCTCCTTCTACTAGCTACTAGAAGATGACGGTTGCATCCAATATTCAGACGGTTGCATCCAATCTTCTGCACTAGCACTGTTGAAGCAGCTTTGCTGCAGCCATTTGACATTGGTGACTAAAAAATTAAAAAAAAAAAAATTTTCAATTTGTTTTACATAGCTAGATAGGTTTGTCAAGGCTGGTTACTTTCTCTTTCCACTGGATATGCCAAAAAATACTAGATATCATATATTTAATGTGTGTTTTAAAAATCAGAATGCCAAATGAAGAATCCTTTTTTTGAGATTGGCTTGTATTTAGCCCAGCAAAGACAGCAGTATTTTTGTTTTCTAATTCAAATATTTTCACTTGGAGATAATGTTTTACATTTCCACATTTTGAAAATCGCTAAATCTTGAATAAAGCAACTATCTGGAGAAAAGCTATAGAACAAAACCTGGATGTTTATCTGTTTCTTGGTGAACGGGGATTTGTTTTTTGTGGAAAATATGACCTAATTGGAGATGCTCAAATGGAAATTTCTTAGGGTTGCTGAAACTAGTTTCACTTTATGACAAATTCTCAAGAAACATGTGATAAAATTTAATCATTGTTTTCAAAATGAACTTATTGATCTTTTTGCAGCTGAGGTTCGCAAGTCTACGAAGTATTTTTTAATTATGGTTGATGCTACTCCTGATGTAAACCTTACTGAACAAACTACGTTTGTCATTCGATATGTACTTGAAGAAGAACCTGG